CTTTGTTAAATTTGCCAGTGGTTTGTCAATTTTATTGATCTTTTCAAAAAACCAACTTCTGGTCTTGTTGATTTTTTCTATAGCCCAGGGATAAACTTTGTTTTGACTTGTCATCATCAGTTTTGTCTGTTCTTAAACTCCAAATATATGGCAATCCTACAGGGTACACTCTTTGGTATGGCTTCTTTTGTGCAAAATAATATCGAATGTACTCATCCATGTTATTGCATGTACCAATAGTTCCTTTTCTTATTGCTGGGTGGAGTCTCTGGGTGGTGCAAATGATTAAGCACTGATCTACTAGCTGAGAGGTTGGTGGTTTTGTACCTACCCAGAGGAACCTTGTAAGACAGACCTGGCTATCTGCTTCTGAAAGATCACACAGCCTTGATAAATCCTATGGAGCACAGTTCTACTCTGATGCACAAGGAGTCACGATGAGTCAGAATGCACTGGACAGCAACTAACAACAACATGCCCTTGTGAATATACCACTATTTCATCATTCTGTTGGATTAGAACTTGGGTTTTTTCCAGGTTGAGACTATTACAAATAAAATGAATGCTCTTTTTAAGAAATCTCTTTTTCTCATTCTTGCACACGTACAGGCCCTCGAACGTGTACCACAGGCACTTCTCCGAGGTCAGGCCATTGGTCTCTCCTCTCCATTCTGGGAACTATTTCCTAGGGAGGAGGTAGGTAGTGGGGGAGGAGTGATACCAACCTCCTAAGACTTATTCCCTCTCTTCCAGCTTCCTCACCCCTGGCTGTGGGTGCCCTGAGCCTTTCACACCCCGCAGTGAGGCTCACCCACCGCCCCCCATGAGCGCGCCTGGCTGACTGACGGGGCAGCCACAGTGGAGCCCGGGCACCGCGAAAGTGGCGGGGCCATGGCCTCGCTGGACCTGCCCTACCGCTGCCCGCGCTGTGGAGAGCACAAGCGTTTCCGGAGCCTGTCATCACTACGCGCCCACCTGGAATACAGCCACACCTACGAGACACTCTACATCCTCTCCAAGACAAACAGCATCTGCGATGGGGCGGCAGCTGCAGCTGCAGCTGCAGCCGCCTCCGGCTTCCAGCTGGCAGCCGAACCTGCCGCCCTGCTGGCGGTACCCGGCGCCCGGCGCGAGGTTTTCGAGAGCACGTCCTTCCAGGGCAAGGAGCAGGCGGCCGGACCGCCTGCAGCGCCACACCTGCTGCATCACCACCACCACCATGCGCCCCTCGCCCACTTCCCCGGCGACTTGGTGCCCGCCACCCTACCTTGTGAGGAGCTGACTGAGCCCGGCCTGGTGCCCGCTGCCGCTGCACGCTACGCGCTGCGCGAGATAGAGATTCCGCTGGGGGAGCTGTTTGCGCGCAAGTCCGTGGCATCCTCGGCGTGTTCGACGCCGCCACCGGGGCCTGGCCCAGGCCCTTGTCCTGGCCCCGCCTCAGCCTCGCCTGCGTCTCCGTCGCCCGCTGATGTAGCCTATGAGGAGGGCCTGGCTCGTCTCAAGATCCGCGCCCTGGAGAAGCTGGAGGTGGACCGGCGGCTGGAGCGACTGAGCGAGGAGGTGGAACAGAAAATCGCTGGTCAGGTGGGCCGGCTGCAGGCCGAGCTGGAACGCAAGGCTGCAGAGCTGGAGACTGCGCGGCAGGAGAGCGCGCGGCTGGGGCGCGAAAAGGAGGAGTTGGAGGAGCGAGCCTCTGAGCTCTCCAGGCAGGTGGACGTGAGCGTGGAGCTGCTGGCCTCGCTCAAGCAGGACCTCGTGCACAAGGAACAGGAACTGAGCCGCAAGCAGCAGTGAGTGGGGCCTCAGGGCCCTGTGGGTGGGTGTGCCCGTGAATGTTTCTGAGTGGATGACTTTGTGTGCTACTGTGCCACCACCACGAGGAGTTTACTTGAGTATGGTTTTGAGTGTGTCTGTATGTGAAGCCAGGAGCATGTAAGTGGGGGTGCATGTGGGGCCAAGAGCATGTCCTGATGGTGTGTTGACTGGGACTATGAGTACGTGGCAATATGTGCCTGACAGTGACAACTAGGTCTATTCCTCTTCTTCTCTTATCATCCTTGCAAAAGCCAGCCCCTTGCATTTTGCACCAGATCCTATCCCTTGCCTACTCAAAGATATGGCTCAGTTTCCCCCCTCCTCCATGAACAAAATGTACTATTCCTAAAAGCATTCAAAAGAAATGATGTCATTTCTCCCATCTGTCTTAACCCTACTTCCTCCTTAAGCTACTGCCTTCTCTTCTTACAGAAAAACTCCTTAAAAGTATTGTTTATATGTCTGTCTCTAGTTTCTTTCCTCATATTCTCTCTTGAACCCACTTTGGTGAGGTTTCTGCCTTGACCACTGTCCTTCATGTCACCAGTGACCTTCATGTTGCAAAGGCCAGGCCATCATCTTACTTGACCTCTCAGCAGCATTTGACACAGCTGATTCTTATTTTTTTAAAAAATTTTATTATTATTTTTTTTTTATTGTGATTTGGGTGAAGATTTACAGAGCAAATTCACTCTCCATACAGCAGTTCACATATATTTTGTCTCATGTCATTGACCACAGTTTACCACAATGCAACAGCTCCCCTCCCACTTCCTCCCCATAGTTACCTCTTCCCAGTGTCCATCCCTCC